AGAATGCCAGGGGCTGCTCTTTTGCACACATTTAATTTCTCAACCTTTACTTTATTATTATTTTTTAAAGATTTTATTTATTTATTCATGAGAGACACAGAGAGAGAGAGGCAGAGACACAGGCAGAGGGAGAAGCAGGCTCCCTGCGGGGAACCCTATGGGGGACTCCATCCCAGGACCCTGGGATCACGCCCTGGGCTGAAGGCAGACCTTCAACTGCTGAGCCCCCCCAACCCGGGGGACCCCCAAACCTTACTTTGAGGACATTCCCAAGAAGCCTGCCTGACCTTCTCTCCCCCTTTGAGGGTGGATCAAGTACTTGTCCTTTATATTCCCAGGGGACCCTGTGTCCGGTTCCATCCCTGACCTCTTCCTGTGTCCCATGCCCCCAGTTCTAGGCCCAGCAGCCTGGAAGGAGGGCTGGAGCCTAGGAAGCGGGGGTTGGGGTGTGGGTGGAAGGGCTGGGGGGGCCTGCAGGGGAGGAGGCCTTGCACCAACACAACTCTCACTCTGTGCGTCACCTCAAGGACCGTGTCACCCGTGTCACTAGTGAGAAGTGGAGGCCCACCGAGCCCGGGGTGCTCAGGGCTGCAGGGTGTCTGGGGCGGGGGGCTGGACACCCGCGCCCGCCTCTCCGCGCGGCCCCGGCCTCACTAGCCCGTCGTGTGCGCGTCCAGCCGGGAGGGGGCGCCAGAGGCCCGCCCCTGGGGAGGCCGGGCGGGCGGGGTGGGGGTGGGGACCGCTGCTCCTCGGGAGGAGGCGCTCGGGGCGCAGCCCTGCAGCTGGGGGTCCCGGTAAAGGAGCGGGTTGTGCTGGGGCGGGTTTGCAAGGGCGCCGGGGTTCAGGAGTGTCAGCCTTGGGATGGGGGCGGCCTCCTGGGGGCGCGCTGGAGGCAGGGAGGGCTCCCCGGGGCCCCGGGGAGCGCCCCCCAGCTCCTAACCCCCCACACCCCCATCCCCCCAGCTCCACCCATCTACCCCGGGACTTGCTGCAGGCCCGACGTTCCTAAGTCTCCGCCAGTGTCCGAGCCCGGACCCCAGGCTCCTGAACTCCTCCCCCCTCTCCCGGTTCCTCCCACCCAGTCCGTGGGATCCGCCCCCCAGCACCTGCAAGAGACCTTCACCAAGACCCCGGGTCGAACTCCTGCTCCGTCCCCCTCCCCGAGTCCCCTCTCTCCGCAGAGACCAGTTTCCACCTGGTGACTTAACCTGGGAAGATCCAGTGATCCTCGAGGCCTTTCCTGTTCTTGCCCCTAAGGCCAATCCACCTGCCCATCATCCCCCATCCGAGTTGGTGCTCTTGCCTGGACTCCCTTGCCGCGCCATCCCTCGCTGTCCCTCCTCCTCCGGGTGGCAGCCCTGCTAATCTTTTCAAATCCTCCATCTGATCGTGTGGCTCACCTGCTCACCTGCTCACCTGCTGAAATCTTTCTAGTGCCCCCCCAGCCCCTGGGCCTGCGCGGCCTGGTCCTTCCAACATCTCTGGCGCTACCCTCCCTCTCACTCTTTGTTCCGACTACATGGGCCACACTCATCACAGGGCCTTTGCACCTGCTGTTTCTGCCTCCGTCTGCAATCGGCCCCCCCTTTCTGCCTTGTTAACTCCTTCTCCTTCAGACCTCTTGGCTCCAGTGTTGCTTTCTCGGGGGCCCCCTCCACGGCCTCCCTGACCCGGTCGGATCCCTTGGGACTGACTCTCCCAGCACCACACACTTCTCCTTCACATATTTGTCATAGCTGTCATTGCTGATTTGTTTGCAGTATTACTTAGTTAACGTCTGTTTTTTTTTTTTCTGCTAGACTGTAAGTTCCACGAGGGTAAGGACTGTGTCAGTTTTCACTCACTGGAAGTGTCCAGTGTCCATGTGCTGGCATGTACTAGGGGCTCGATGTTTCTTGAATAAATAAGCAAATGACCGTTGCGCATTTCTCTCCACCTCTGTCTCCCGAGCCCGAGCCTGTGTCACCTCCTAGCTGGACCTCAGCGATCACTTCTTCACTGGTCTCCCAGTTTACAGTCACCCACTGCCAGTTTCCCCTGCAAGGGCCAGAGTGGTCTAATAAAAATGCCGGCCTGACCATGTATGTCACCCTTTCCACCCATCGCACAGCCTTCAGCGGCCTCCCGTGGCCCTTGGAATAAAACGCAAAGTCTTGACACAGCCTTACAAGGACTTGTACCGTCGGGCTCACCTCATGCCAAGCTCCACCTCTTCAACGGATCTTTCTTAATGCAACAAATATTGAGCGCCTGGGGATTTAGTGGTGAGTGAAAACAGACTCCTTCAGATCTGCTTACAATCCTCCAGACTCTCCTGCCCACGCTGGGCCTTTGCACATGCTTTGCCCCTTGTCTGGAAAGTGCTTCTCTCTCCTTTCTCCACATTCCTGACTTTGCCCAGTCAACACCTACTCCCCAGCCAGATCTCAGATTTTTTTTAATTTATTTAATTTATTTTTTTTCGGATCTCAGATTAAACTCCCATTTATTCAGGGATATCTCATGTGACCCCCCAACCCGGGTCCCTCTGTGAGATGCTTTTATTGCTCCCTATATTGTCTTTGTAGCACTTAAGGCATTTCTTGTTTTTCTCTTTGTTTGGGTTTTTAGTTAAACCCCCCCACCACCCCCCCGCCGCCAGGAGCTTCCACGTCTGACTTTTTTGGCTTTACCATCGTCTTGCTCTGCCGCTTAGCTGGTGCTCTGCACTATATTGAATGAATAAAGGAGTGAGTTAGTTATTCCCCTGCAGCAGTACTCAGAGGGCACGGCCACCAGGGAAATGGTGCCCCCACCTCGGGGTGAATATGAGCTGAGGCCCAAGCTGGGTGCTGAGAGGGGTATGAAGAGGAGCTGTCAGGCAGCCCAGGTGGCTTAGCGCTGCCTTCAGCCCAGGGCGTGATCCTGGAGACCCGGGATCGAGTCCCACGTCGGGCTCCCTGCATGGAGCTTGCTTCTCCCTCTGCCTGTGTCTCTGCCTCTCTCTCCCTCTCTCTGTGTCTCATGAATAAATAAATAGATCTTTTTTTTAAAAAAAAAAAGGAGCTGTCACCAGAGAGAGGGGCAAGAAGCTGCTAGTCCCTCCTTGGGACTAGCTCTGGATCTCAAAACTTGGCCCCACCTACCTCTCCCTCCCCACCCACCTCTCCCTCCCCACCTCTCCCTCTCCAGCAACCCTGCTCCCACTCCTAGTCCTCTAGGGCTTATGAAAGACAGAGACGGGGATCCCTGGGTGGCTCAGCAGTTTGGCACCTGCCTTTGGCCTAGGGCAGGATCGGGGGTTCTGGGATCAAGTCCCGCCTCAGGCTCCCAACATGGAGCCTGCTTCTCCCTCTGCCTCTGCCTGTGTCTGTGCCTCTGTCTGTCTCTCTCTCTCTCTATGTCTATCATTAAATAAATAAATAAATAAATAAATAAATAAATAAATAAATCTTTTAAAAAAAAAGGAGAGAGACACAGGCAGAGGTTGAGGCAGGCTCCCTGTAGGGAGCCTGATGCGGGACTGGATCCCTGGATCCCAGGATCACACCCTGAGCCAAAGGCAGATACTCAACTGCTGAGCCCCCCAGGGGTCCCTCAGGTCAAGTTTAGACGCTGCTCCTTTAGAAGATGCCTTCCCTGGGGAGGTTTCCCTGGGATGGCTTATCCTTCCAGCTCATTCCCTTCGTTGACATGGAAATGCAGGTCTATATTTGCTTACTGGCTGCATCTCTGGCTGAGTTGGAAGCTTTCGGTTCCATCAAGCAGAAAATCCAACTCCACTGGCTTAAGCAGTCAGTCGTCCCGTGGTAGGACTGGATTTGGGGTTGGTTAGCTCAGTGGTCTTCTCAAGGACCTGGGTTCTCCCCAACTCCCTGCCCTGACACCCTCGAGGTCGGCTTTGCCCTCAGGGTGCTCAGCAGGATGGATGCGGCAACGCCAGCCATCACCGTGGACCCCACGCCACACAGGCAGAGTTGTCCCCTTGTCGGGCCGTAGTTAACTATCGCTGTGTGCGAGGCCTCACGCATCCTAGCAGTAGAAAGCAATATTTATGATCTCCCAGCTTCCAAGAGTTGGAAACCCAGGAGCAGCTTAGCTCCTTGGTGCTGGTAGGGGATCTCTCGTGGGGTTATGGCCCAGCTGTTGGCTGGGGCTGTGGTCATCCCAAGGCCTAACTGAGGCCGGAGAAGCTGCTCCCAGGCTTGTTCGTGTGGTTGTTGGCAGGGGGCTTCAGGCCCCTTGGCGTACGGGCTCCTCAGGCTGTTTGCAGTAGAACAGCTGCTTCCTCCACAGAGGGGGAGGGCCCAAGAACGAGAGGGCCCCCAAAACAGAAGCGGCGGCGTCTTCAAGGACCTGACCTCACCTGTGTGACGCCATCGTGGCTGCTGTGTCCTGTGGGCCGCTTGGCTCAGCCCTGGGCCAACACGGGCAGGGGCCACACAGGGTGTGAACGAGGAGGTGGGGGGACACTGGGAGGCCCTCATGGTTTTCAAAATTGAGGATGCCTCTCGGAGAAGCCCAAAAGGCTTCTCTTTATAGGTTCTGGTCGCAGTCGGGCCACATGCCTGTACCTAAACGAGCCACTCATGAGGGGTTTGGGGCCATTATCTTTGCCTCGTGACAATCACGATGCACCCCTGGGCTTGGGAGCCACCTCGGCCGCAGCATGAAGGTTGAGGGGGTGGGGATGGGGGGGGATCCGGGAGGAAGACGGCCGCCTAAACGAAATCATCTGTTTGGGCGAAGAGGGGATGGATGTTGAGGAAGCCACTCGGTGTCTCGGACACCCGTCCGCTCCACTGTGAAGTCCCCGAGAACGGAGACGGAGTCTTTCCCTGCTTCTGTAGCCCACTGGCTGCCAGCAGACTTGTGAAGTCAATGAATTCATGACGAGGTGGAGACCACAGCGGGAGCCTAGGACTCGCACTGGGTTGGGGTAGGCTCCCAAAGGCCTTAGGATGCAGGGGCCACCTGCCCCCGCCCACCACCGGCCCCAAGGATACACCGGACCGGACCGGCAGAGTTATCCTCACTTTATTTCTGGAGACATTTGATCAGACGCAGTAACACTGATTCTAGGCGAGGGCAGGGGGCGTGGGTACCCCGAAAGCAACCAGTCTCCTGTGGCCCAAGGTGCCCCCCACCCCTGGACCTGGGTGCCCCCTCAGTTACAGTTAAATAGAGAGAGGAAGATCACCCCAGGGAGTCTCGGGAGGGTCTGCCTCCTGCACCCGCCCCCTCCACGCAGAGGGGTCTGAGCACGAGCTATTTACAGTATTCACATCCACTGTACCCCACCAAACCAAGGCAGATACTACAGGCGCCCCCCCCCCCGAGGGAGGAGGCCAGAGAGGCTGTGAGTGTATGTGTGTGTGGGGAGCGGGGTGGCCGCGCGTGTGAGCACACGAATGCACTGAGGGGCGGGGGCTGGCTCCGGCCCAAGAGACGTCAGTCTATAAGGTGCAGAGTAAAAATAACAAGAGGACCCACCCCCGGGGGCCCAGGCCACTTCCGGCTTCGATCCGTCTCTTTTTCTTCCAGGCATCCTGGTGGATGATGCAGAGGAGCCCTCATAGCTGCGCCTGGATCCAAGGCCACTCCTTAAAGGACTTCTGGAGGGGAGAAGCAGGAGGGGAACGGTCAAGGCAAATGACACCTCCAAGCCCTGGTGTCTGGGGGTCTTCAGGGCAGAGCGCGACAGGGGCTCCGGCACAGCTGGGAGAAAGGGCAGGGCTGTGGGGTCGGGGAAGGTTGCTGGGAGGGAGGACTGTGGGTCCGGGACTTGGGGACTCCTACCTGTGACCTGTGGGGGTTGCACCACAGCTTTCTTGAGGAAGGCCTCTGCCTCTGCGAAGGGCAGGAGTGCCTCTGGCGTTCGGCCCAGACTCTTGTCCCCAGAGGGCCCCTTAGGGGAGAAGCCATTCTCCTGGTGTGCAGGGAGAGGCTGCAGGCCATTCACCAGGGACCCTGGCGGCTCCTTGCTGGGCAGGCTGTGGATGCAGGGCCAAGACTCAGGCCCCTCCCAGCCCAGGGCCACCCGGCACCCCAGCCCACAGCTCGTGTCCTGCCTCCCTGCTCAAGGCCCCGGCATCGGTGGCTGGTACCTCCACTGAGGCTCCTGGGCGGCCAGGTCCTCTTTCTGCACTGCCTCCTTCTGTAGCCCCGAGGGCCGAACCTCCCTGGCTTTCACAGGATCTGTCACCCGAAAGGAAGGGCCATCAGTTAGGGGCTGGGGAGAGGAGGGAGTCTGAGGGCAGGCGGCAAAGGGGACAGAGACGAGGGGAGCAGGGCCTTCACCTGGGCCGAAGTTGTTGGCTTTCGTTGTCTCCTTTCTGTCCAGCTTCTGCTTTGAATTGGAAGAGTCGTCAGACTCCAGGACTACCTGCGCCCCACCCCATTGGGATGCGGCCTCCTCCTCTCTCCCAGGCCCCCCCCTTTCCTTCACCCCCCACCCCCCGCTGCCGACAGAACCGCCTTTGAGGAATCCCGACCTTGGTTTCAGCAGCCTCTGACTTGCGAGTCCTCTTCATGATCTCCTCCAGGCGCTGTTGGGGGGCCTGTCAGTTAGGCCCCCAGCCTGACCCAGTTCTGAACCTCCCGCCCGCCCGACCTCCAGGGCCCTTCCCGCCCCACCAGTCCTTTCAGGGCCAGGAGCCAGGACGCCCCCCACCTCCGTCCTGCCTGCCCTTCTCCAGCCCCAGGCAGGGCCCAGCCACCCCCCTCACCCCCTCGCGCCCCCCATACCCGCGGCGGATGAGCCCCAGGCCAGGCACAGCCTCACCCACACCCACGTAGCACCGCCCTGCACACCTTTTTGCGCTCCTGCCGCTCCTGCTCCTCCCGCTGGAAGTGCTTTTCCCGCTCCAGGCGCTGCCTCTCCGCTTCCTCCCGGGACCGAGCTTCGGCCTCTTCTTTCTGCCCGAGACCCCCATGAGCTCGGAGCAACCCCAGAGAGCTCGGGGCGGCCGGACCCCCAGCCCTCCACCAGGAGGTACCCCCCAGCGATGCGCCCCCAGCCCTCCACCAGGAGGCGCCCCCCCACCTGCCCCCTCAGCCCCCTGGGGGGCACCTGCTTCTGCAGCCGCTCCTGCTCCTCCTGCTCCGCCTGCGCCTTCTCGCGGGCCTCCTGCTCCTCTCGCCGCCGGGCCTCTGCCTCCCTCTCAGCCCGAGCCTCGGCCTCCCGTGCCAGCTGCTCCTCTCGCAAGCGCCTGGGGGACACGGGCACAGGACACTTGCTGGGGGCTCGGGCGCGCTCCCCTCGCGGCTGTCCCCGGCCTCCTCGCCCCGGGCGCTCACTTGTCCCGCTCTGCTTGCAGCCTCCGCTCCTGCTCCTCGCGCTCGCGCTGCTCCCGGGCTTGGCGCCGCTTCTCGGCCAGGAGCCGAGTGGCCTCCTCTCGGTCGGTGGTGCCCGCCATGGGCTTGCTGGGAGTCGTGGGGGGCGCAGGGGCTGGGGGTGAGGTCAGGACCGCAGTGTCTGTGGGGGACCCATGCCCAGGAGTCAGCGCCACCTCCACGATCAGGCCCTCGCGCTCCGGGACCTCGGGGTGACCCGCCCGCGCCTCTGTCGACCACTGGGCCTGCCGGGCGGCCTCCTTCCTGGCTCCCCACCCCGGGTCCCCAGGCACTTCTAGGCCCAAAGCTCCCCCCACCCAGGCCAAGTTGGCTTCTCTGGCCCTGCCCACCTGCGGGGATGGCTGTGGGCTGCTCCTTCTGGGGCTGAGCAGGCGTGGGCGAGGGCACGGGCGAGGGTGCTGGCGAGGCCGGGGCTGCTGGCTCCTTCTCCTCGCTGCTCTTGCTCTTGCTCTGGTTCTTGTCCACCGTGCCTGGGGCACTGAGGCTCTCCTTGGCCTCATCCTTCCTCCGCACCCGCCCCTTGGGTGACGCAGTGGTGCCCCGAGGAGATGGCGGTTTGGGGGGTAGAGCGTGGCCAGGCCCTGGGCTGGAGCAGGGAGAAGCAGGCCTGTGCCAGGACGTGGAGGGAGAGGATGGCCGGGCCTTGGCTTTGGGACTGAGAGAAAAGGAAAAGTTGGGCTTGGACCACAGCATCTGAGCGTGTCATTCCTTCGGGAGAGTATCCCCCTCCCCGCGGCCTAGCTCGGCACCCCCCACCTTGTAGGCTCTATTTCCTTTTAGAGCACAAAGCCCAGCTTGGAATCACATGTCATTTAGGAGTCTTTAATTGATGTCTGTCTCACCAAGAGTTGGTAAGAGTAGTAAGAGCAAGAACTTAGGTCCCTTCATTCTTTCAGCAGGTATTTGGTGGGCGCTTCCCAGACGACAGGCACTGATCTACATACTAGGTAGGGTACTTCGGCCGTCAAAACACTCAGAAAAAAAATATCTGTCCTCTAGGAACTTTCACTTTCATTCTAGGGGCGGGTGCCCAACAGGTACTGGTGACTGGATGGACGGACCCATGAACGAGCGGCCTGGGGACCCTGGGGACCCACCTGAGCTCGGCGGCGTTGCCCACAGACAGGCGCGGGCGTGGAGAGGCGGGCAGTGACTGGCGCTTCTTGAGGCTGCGCTCCCGGGCCAGGGCACTCTTCTCCTTCTCATTTTCCCGCTCCTTGTCCTTTTTCTCCTTTTTCTGCACCTGGCAGGGCGGGAAGGAGAGCGGGCGCGGAGGTTATGGGCTGTGTGCCCCGCAGCCCCCTGCCCCAGCTGCGCACCCACTCACCGGGGAGGCCTCGGGCCGGCGGCGGGCCACGGCGGGGCTGCCCCCTGCGCTGGGCTTGCGGCGCTCCCCACGCTCCACGGCGGGGCCACAGCGGTGCGCGCTTCGGGGGGCGCTGCTCGGCGTCAGGGGGCTGGCGGAGGCCGAGCGCGGGCACACGGGCATGGCTGCAGAGGGATGAGTGCGGTCGGGGTGTGGCCCACGAGCAAGGCTGGCCCCGTCCCACCCTGCGTGGGGGCTCTCCCAGGGCCGCTGCCCCTACCCTGGTCCCGGCCGTTGCGGGGCAGCGTGACCGCACTACGACTCCGTGCCAGGAAGGAGAGGGTGGGTGTCATCAGCCGGTCCACGATGCTGCTCTCCCACGCGCTCAGCTGCAGGCTGCGATCTAGGGGGACAAGGCCACAAGCAGGTTAGAGCGGGAGGCCGCGGCCAACAGGCAGGAGCCTGGGGGGACAGCCGGGTTCCGTGTGCACCAAGCCCCGAGAGGCGTCCCCAGGACCCTTACCCCATCAGCCGGGGCCGCCTTGGTCTGCCCGGGGGCCTGACCTTCCCTGAGATGCAGGCAAGGAGACACTTCCCAGGGCAATGCCCCGCAAGGCCGCAGGGCCCCCTCTGCCACGTTCCCTAGGTGACAGCCCCAGTCCGCTCTGCATCCCAGCACAGAGCCCTGGTCCCTTTGCTGCCAGAGGGCTGGCCTGGGGAGGCACGACCCCATGGCTGGGGACAAGGAGGGTCCCTGTGCTCCTGACTGAGGGTGTCCCATGCCAGACACAGGCTGCGAGGGGGCCTGGCAGGCCTGCGCCACCCTGCTCTGTCCCCTCAGCTGCTGGGTTATTTTTAAGCCTCAGTCAGGTGGAGTTGGTACAGCAGCTGATTTGGTTGCTAGGCAACAGAACAACCAAATAAAAGCTGGAGAAACTTATAAATAACTCCTACCACGGCCCCTTCACATGTGAGCACCAGGGCACAGTGGGAGCACAGGGGCCGTGCCACGCCGGTTGGCCGCAACTCTGGAGCCAGCGAAGGCCCCGGCCAGGGCTCTGAAGGCACAGAGGGTGGGGGTGTTCGGGCCCCCCAGGGTGGTGCCGGAATAAGGGCCCCCCTCTGCACACACAGCACCCAGGCTAGTCCAGGACTCAGGGACGAGGCCCTGCCTCAGGCTGGCCGAAGCCAGCTGACTGTGGTTGATGAGGCTGCCTGCCTGTCCCACTCTCCACCCCTACCCCTGACCCCACTCCCACCCCCACCTCCACCTGCTGTTGAGGCCCCAGCCAGGCTTCCTTTCTGTCTGCTGGGACACTGCCCTTTGTCTCTGTTCTCTTCCCCTGCAGGGAACCCCTCTGTCCTCAGGGTCCAGACCCATACGCCGCCCCGCCGGCTCCTCTGAGGGGCACAGAGCGCTGGGTGGGGAGAGTGGGGATGGAGACCTGGTATAGGAGAGGCTCCTGGGACCTGCCTGGGGCTCTTGCTGAGCTCTGGAGGAGGCTTGGGGGAGTGGGGCCACAAGGGGCTCTGGAGGGAGGAGGGCTGGGCCTTCTCTTACTTCTACTGGGGGAGTTCCAGAGCGTGGCAGAGGACTTTGAGAGCCGCTTGTTGATTATAGAGTCCACGTGTTTAGGCAGGTTTACTGCCGACACGGAGCACCTGCTCCCACCTGGAGGGGAAAAGACACGGCATTAGGGCCGGGCCGGACAGAAGCCAGGGGGGGCACTGAGGCCTTCCATTCAGGATGCTCCGAGGGCAGGGCGGGAGAGGGAGGAGTGGGCAGGCTAGGAAGAGGAGGAGGAGGCCATCTTGGCTCTGGGGCGGGGGGGGGGGGGGGGGGGAGGTGACCCGAGACAGCCTGGATTGGGGGAGCTGATGGAGCAAGAACAGAGGAATGGGATGGAGCAGAACTAGAGAAACGTTCACCTTCCTGGCCAGGAAGCCATTCCCTGGGGCTGGGTGCTGCAACCCCTCCCCGCCCACCCCCCCAGCCACCCAGGGTTGGCACTTGCTGGCACTGCCCCACCAAGGTGCTATGGCTATGACATCCACGTCCTGGGACGAATGCAGAGAGACATTCCTAAACAGAAGAACCCACAGCCATAGTCACTCACACAGATCCACACGTTCCTAGGGGCACACGAAGGCAAAGACATGCAGGCACGGGCACAGGGAGTAAAAGGTACACTTCCACATGCACACGTGTGTGCAGACATGCGCAGACACAGAAACAAACACTGACAGCTTATGTGCCAGACCCAGATGCACACAGGCACAAGCACATCGAGGCAACTTCATTGTGATACTCGTAACAGCTAACGTTCGTTGGATGCTTACCATGTACCAGGCACCGTGCTGGGCACTACACACATGTTACCTCACTTGATCCTCCCAAACATCTACCTACAACCTTGGAGGCAAGTAGCATAGTTATCCCCATTTTACAGATGAAGAGAGTGACATCGAGATGTTAGAGGTCACACCACAAGTGCCAGAGCCGGGATGCTAGCCCCGTTCTGACTTGGGAGCCCGCACGGAGGCAAACACGCACAGAGTAAGACGCACAGCGCACGGGTCCACGAGCACACACACCAGAAGGAGCACAGCCGGAAATACTGAGCTTTGCCATCACAGAAAGACATCCACACACAATGGTGCATGCACGCCGGCCAAGAATCACACTCAAATCCTGATGGCCCTACATGAACAAAACTCAGAGACACAAATCCGCCTCCCCAGACACGGACGCAAGGGGGTGACAGTTTTCTTAAGTACCCAGTGTCTGCGGGGCATTAAAGCATTCTTTACTGTGTCCTCAACCAGTAGTCACAACAGGGACAGGTCAGCCTAATTTAAAATGACAGAGGTGGGACACCTGGGTGGCCAGAGGTTTGGCACCTGCCTTCGGCCCAGGGCGTGATCCTGGAGTCCCAGGATCGAGTCCCGCATCGGGCTCCCCGCATGGAGCCTGCTTCTCCCTCTGCCTGTGTCTCTGCCTCTCTCTCTGGGTCTCTCATGAATAAATAAATAAAAACTTTAAAATAAAACGACAGAGGTTTGAAGAGCAAACCAAATGAAGAGGATTCACCTCTGACTTGATTGACAGCAGAAGCCCTTGGGAAGGGACAGCTTGGTTTACGAGCCCGTTCCAGAAGACACAGGTCGCACAAAGCCAGGCATACACCTGCTGGCAGCTCCTGGCATGAAGCTGCCCCCGCCCCGCGCCACTCCCTGGGCCCCAGCCTCGCCCACCCGCCCACCAGGCCCTCCTGCCCACTCACTGGTCTTACGTCTGGGGGAGCCATGGTGCAGGGCTCCTGCCCAGGACCAGCGCTGCTGCCGGATTTCAGCCCACGTCTTCTTCACTGACCGCTGGATGGCGGCTTCATAGCGCTCCTGGGGGAGAGGTCTGGGCTCAGAATCACTCACCATACCTGCGACCATACCTGAGAGAAGGGGCCCTTTTCTCTCCTGTGACAATGCCGCCCCACCCAAGAAGCTGTCCCTGACTCACTGCAGGTAACCAAGGTTACTGGATCCCCGCTATGATTAAAGACCAGCTTGTTCTTGGGGGAGCTTTGCACTGTTCTTGAGTCATTTCCTGGATGTCTGAGCTGTTCCTCTGAGGATGGGGTGGGACTTTCCCTTCCCTGCCTGGGGCTCCAGCGGGGCCTGTCCCCCTGGCCCTGAGGGTCCTGACCTTGGGACTAGGTTTTCCTTGCAGCCTAAGCACCCCACCCCCACCCCCCTGCTGGGCCAGGCCACTTTTTCCTCCCTTTCCTCCCCAGGGCTCAAGCCGGGGCTCAGCACACTCACACAGACCCGCATACACCCAGACACACACCCAGATCCGCATACTGACAGCGCACGGTTACAGGTGCCCGCCCCCTGCACGCACAGCACCAGGCGTGTCTGCAGCAGCACAGATGCCCACGTTGCCCACTCGGATGCAACTGCAGGTGTGAGAGCACATATTGCCGGGTAGATGCCACAGCGGTGTGGACCCAGACGTGCGCACCCATGGAGCCGGGGTCTACGTGTGTGCGTGCACCGGTCCGCAGACCTGTGCGCCCCGAGTTAGAAACGGGGAGGCGCACACCTTGTTCTTCTCCAGCTTCTGCCGCTGCCGCTCCTCCAGGGCCGCCCGGCGCTGCTCGGCCTTAAGCCTCTGCTCCTCCAGCCGCCGCCGGCGCTCCTGCAGCTGCTTCTCCCGCAGCGCCTTGGCCTTCTCCTCCTTCTCCAGCCACACAGCTTTCTTGGCCGCTGTGGGAAGAAGCCCCGGGGGGTGTGAGCGGCTCCCCAGCAGCGCATCTCCCCGGAGGAGGTGGCCTTCCCTGTGATCCTGGCTTCAGGGTGGTCTTTCCTCTGCCTGCTTGGTGGTGGTGATGGGGGTGCTGATGGGGGGGCGGTGCCTGGGCTACCAGACTCCCTGCCTCAAACCTTAGGGCTTCCAGCAGACAGGGTCAGGCCTCAGGAGGAGCCTTTCCCTGATGGAAGGTCTGTTTCTCCCCCCCAGGCCTCTCATGGCCTCTGGGTGCTAAAGGAGAAATGGGTTCTTCGGGGCCAGAGCCCTGTCTGACTTTGGAGCAGATTTTCACGTGCTGTGGTTAAGAGCATGGGACTGAGGGTGAGCTGAGGCTCCTGGGTCTGACCTCAGGTAGTCCACTGGCTGTGTGTGGCTTAGGAAGGTGATTCCATCTCTCTGAGCCCTTGTGTCCCCGTCCTCAGAAGGGGAGCGAGAGAATTCAATGAGATGATGTGTGTACAGCTCCCAGCACAGGGCTCATAATTAAGCGTTCAGAAGTGCGAGTGCTGTGGATGAAGGACTGATGGTGAGAGTGGGGGGGCTGATGACGCGTGCCCAGCACTCACCCAGGTACTTGGCTCGTTCTTCTCGCCGCTCCTTTGCCAGCTTGTGTCTCTCTCCTGCTTTCTTTACATCTTAAGTCAAGGGAATGAGAACAGACTTAGGTCGGAGGCTCCCCCCCTTGAAAAGGGAGTCAGCCTCAGGGCCCTCCCCCAGGCCTCATCCCCATCCCTCTTCCCATCTCCTCCTGGGCACCAGGAGACTCCCTCTGGTGGCATCATCCAGGGCTGGAAGGCTGAACCAAGGAGTGTGGCCCAGGCCTAGGAACATCATATGTACCTTGCTTGGTGGGAGGGCTGTCGGACGCTTGCATCGCTGTCGGGGCTGGTTGGCTGCTCCTTCGGGGAGGCCTGGCGTCCCGTGGGCCTGTGGCTGGTGGGGTGGGTCCCCTGATCTTCCCTTCTGAGAAAGGGGACTCTTCCTGCTGGGAGGCTGATCCAGGCCCAACGGGCCTTGGGGGGCTCTCTGGTTCCAGCCGGAGCTGCTTAGAACTAGAGGCATTCTTCATGGCTGGAGGGGTGTCTGGGGGAGTGTCAGGGACCAGGGCTGACATCGGAGGTTGTGGTGGCGGCGGCGGGGAGGGGTCCCCTTCTGGAGAAGGTCTGGGCTCTGGGGGGGTCCTGGCTGCCACCGCTGGAAAAGCAACACAAGAGAGGAGACAGAGTCAGAGAGCGTACCCATGTTGTCAGTTCAACACGCTCTGTCCCTCATCCCGCTGACCCATCCCTTCATCCACACAGCGTGGGTACTGAGCTCCTGTGTGCTGGGCTCTGTTCCAGAGACTAATGATACCACGGTGAGAAAACAGCCACGGTCCCTGCGTCTGTGGAGCCTACCTTCTGGCAGGTGGACAGACAAACAGCTAGGCAGCCACAGCATAGGATGGGTCCTACGTCTGGGGGTAACACAGCGGAGGTGGTCAGCCCACGTTTGGGGGGCTTTCTGGAGAAGTAACCAAGCTGGGGATCCCTGGGTGGCGCAGCGGTTTAGCGCCTGCCTTTGGCCCAGGGCACGATCCTGGAGACCGGGATTGAATCCCATATCGGGCTCCCGGTGCATGGAGCCTGCTTCTCCCTCTGCCTGTGTCTCTGCCTCTGTCTCTCTCTCTCTCTCTCTCTCTGTGTGACTATCATAAATAAAATAAAATAAAAAAGAAGTAACCAAGCTGGGAGCCAGAGGGGGAGCTGGAGTTGACAGAGCAGAGGAGGATGGGGTTCTGGGAAAAAAAGGAGAGCATCGGGGATCCCTGGGGGGCTCAGGGGTTTAGAGCCTGCCTCCCGCCCAGGGCATGACCCTGGAGACCCGGGATCGAGTCCCACGTCAGGTTCCCTGCTTCTCCCTTTGCCTGTGTCTCTGCCTCTCTCTCTCTCTCTCTCTGTGTCACTCATGAATAAATAAATAAAATCTTAAAAAAAGAAGAAGAAGAAGAAGAAGAGCATCTGCAAAGGGGCAGAAGGGAGCAGGGTGTATTAGAAACCGTGGGCTGTTGGCAGCACTGATGAGTGCCCCAGTGAGCGGTAATGGCTGGTTTCCATGCCTGCCTCCCCCAGCCTTTCTGCTCGACACCGGGTCACAGTGCCCAGCTCAAGGCCCGGGACACAGAGGCAGCCAATGCTGGGCACGGGGGACTGGCCGGGAGGAAGGACACGAGCACGGGCCCAGCGACGCCGTGCTGCTAACTCCCCGGTGGGGTGGGCAGCCAGTGGCTTTCACTCTGTGATCCTTCTTCCTTTCCCAAACACCCACAGATTTCTTCTATTAAGACAATAATATTTCACGGGGTGCCCAGGTGGCTCAGCAGTTGAGCCTCTGCCTTCAGCTCAGGCCGTGACCCCAGGGTCCTGGGATCGAGTCCCCCATCGGGCTCCCCGCAGGGAGCCTGCTTCTCCCTCTGCCTGTGTCTCTGCCTCTCTCGGGGTCTCTCGTGAACAAATAAAATCTTAAAAAAAATCATATTTCGAGATCTCTGTAGAAGACAGCAAAGTGCCAAGTAAGGAGACCACACGGCTGGGCATGGCACTGTCTATGCACACACGTGGCACATGTGTGGGGAGCCGAAAGCCAGGCTTTGGCGTCAACTGGATGAAGGTCCAGTTCTGATTTTACCACCCCGACGTGGGGCATAGAGGGCACGCCTCCCCAGAACGCGCCTCCCCATGGTGAAGCCACTCAACCTTTTTTTTTTTAAGTCTCAGTTTTCCCGTCTGTAAAATGGGGATGATGAGCCCAAGCTGGTGGGGGTGTCAGAGAAGTACTGGCAGGATTCGCGTGCCAGCGCACAACACTCCCCCGCCCACGGGTCCTCTAAAGCCCTGCATGTTGAGTCCTGGTCCCGTCTGCTGCTACTGGGTGCCACCGGGACGATGGGGATGCTGCCACTGCACCCAGGTTTAGGGAGCAGGACCAGGATCACAGCAAGGTGACTCTAAGGAAGCATTTTTCACTTTCACGGGATGCCTCTGCCAGACCAAGTCCCCTCCTGTGGGATATCTGCCCCCCCCCAGGAGGTGGCAAAGTCCCCAGCCCTGTGGGTGACAGCGTGTGTGTAGGGAGAAGACAGTCCAAGGAGCCAGGCTTGGGACTCTGCACACCTTTTTTGGGGAGACAGGTGTCCTGGGGCTGAATATGGACTCTGAAGGCAAACTATCTGAATGTGAATTCAGGCTTCCCCGTTACCTGTGTGACCTGGGCTGCTTATAGACTGTCTCTGTGCCACAGCCCCCTGCCATGGGAGAGGGACAGTACCCATCTCACACGATTGTGATTCTAGTGATGACAACAGCCCTTAACGGTTATAGGTTCCTCAAGAGCTTCCTATATTCAAAGCATTTCACAATATTTGTCTTCACCCCCACTGACAAGAATTATGAAGGAGGCACTACAAATATCCTTTTTAGGGACGCCTGGGTGGCTCGGTCAGTCCAGTGTCTGCTTTCGGCTCAGGTCATGATCCTGGGGTCCTGGAATCGAGCCCCACGTCAGGGTCCCTGCTCAGCAGGGAGCCTGCTTCTCCCTCTCTGCCCCCACCTCCCCTTTGCACTCTCTCCCCTGCACTCTCTCCCCGCCCCCAAATAAATATACAGAATCTTTTAAATAAATAAGTAACTTAATAAACAGCTTTTTTTCAAGATGGGAAAAGAAGAGCAATTTGAGGTCACTCAGCTGGTAACTGAAGGAGCCTGGACTTGAACCCAGCACCTGTCACCAGAGCCCGTGCTCTTCCCAGTTGCAGCTTCCTGCCTCTGTTTAAGGCAGTATGAAGTAATATGTGTTATGCAATGAAATCTGAGGCTCACGGTTTTTCCCTCATTCCCTCCCTTGCAGCTTCCTGGGCTCCAGGCAAGAGCCCCGGCTGAGGCCCTGTCTCCCCGAGGCCCGTCCAAGTCAGCCAGTAGCCCACCCTGCTTTCCCCACACCGGCCACAGAAGGCTGCCTGGCCACTACCGGTCTACTTCCCAGACACCTGCAAACTCTGTCCCACCTCCAGTGGGCAACATAAGCAGCAGCAATCCTTTAGTGAGTGTTTACTGTATACCTGGAATGGAGCTAGGCCTTTGTGTCCTCATCCTGCACCCTCATATGAGCTCTGGGAGGCAGAGATTCTGATCCCCACTATACAGATGAGACAGTCAAAGCTCACCCCACTAGGTGATTTGCCCAGGGGCATAGAACTAACATGTGGCAGAGGCAGGATTTGAACCTGGACTGTCTGGGGCCAAAAAGCTTAGGTGTGTGCGCACCAAGCTCGAAGGCTGAGGGCGAGGCCTGTTTATTGTCGTCCTCCTAGCACCTGTGCGTGCTGCGGGTGTTGCAAGGAAAACTGGTAGGCGGCTGTTTGTCTGCACCTAGGTAAATCACACCCATCGGGCAAGACAGCGAATCTCCAAGTAGGTCCCAGCTAGCTGCGTGTGCAGCTTGGGAGGAGGAGGAGGGATCAGGCCTGGAAGGCTCTAGGCCTCAGATCAGACAGGCCCGAGGGGGAAACCGCAGCTCTGATCTGGGACCTTGGGCCAGCCCTGAGCCTGCGTGAGCTTCAGTTTCCTTCCCGGGTGGTTAGCACCAGGGGCGAGTAGGTACATCTCTCTGACACCTGGCAGGGGCTCAGGAGGCGGCGCCGGCCCAGGGGAATCTGTTTGCTTCTCCGGATCTCTGCTCTAAGAGCCCACTTTGGTCAGGCTCTCACCCCCGCTGCTCCATGACACTGCTCTTCTCAAGGTCACCAATGGACATGGCACACTCAGCCACTGTCTCTCCGTCCTCGTCGCCCTAAGCCAGGGGCTGCATTTGACACGGTTGATCCTCAGATGCTCCCCAAACACTTTTGCTCTTGGCTGTGGAGACGACACATTTCTCCTGGTGCTCCCTCTACCTTGCTGCCTGTGACTGCTCAGGCTTCTTTGCTGATCCCTCTCTAATTGCCCAACCTCTTAGCGCCGGGTGCCCCAGGCTCAGGGGAGGACCTCATCTCTCCTGTCTGCATGCACTCCCTTGGTGACCTCATCTAGACTCATGGCTCTAAATACCATTGCTCTGCTGATGACAACCGAGCTTGTATCTCCAGCCCAGACCTCTCCCTTGAGTTCCAGTTTCGCTCATGCAACTCCCTATTTGACACCCCTGCATGTCCTACAGACACCCCAAATTGAACACCACCCAAGCGGGGCTCCTAATCTTCTCCCCGAACCCCGCTCCTCCCCCAGTTTTTCCCCATCTCAGTCAACGCCAATCCCCAACTCCCGGTTTCTCGGGCCAAAAAACTTGGGAGTTGTTTTAGAATCTTTTCTTATCTCACATCCCACATCTAATCTCTCAGTAAATCTTTTTAGCTCCATGTGCAAAGTACATTCTGAATCTAATCACTTCTTACCATCTCCACTTCTGTCCTCTTGGTTCAGCCACTCTCATCCCTTAGAAAGACTCCTTGCTGGGGCACCTGACCTGGCTGGCTCAGTCGGTGGAGCGTGCTCTTGATCTCGGGGTTGTGAGTTCGAGCCACACATGGGGTGAAGAGGCTACTTAGAAAATAAAATCTTGGGGATGCCTGGGTGGCTCAGCAGTTGGGCATCTGCCTTTGGCTCAGGGCGTGACCCCGGGTCAGGGGATGGAGTCCCATATCGGGCTCCCTTCAAGGAGCCGGCTTCTCCCTCTGTGTCTTTGCCTGTGTTTCTTATGAATAAATAAATAAAATCTTAAAAAAATCTTTTTTGAGGAGCACCAAAGGCATCACCCAGGTGCCCCAAAAAATAAAATCTTAAAAAAAAAGACTGCCAGCTGCCATTTTTTGTTTCCTTTTCATCTTTTCTCAATGCAGCAGCTGAGTGATTCTATTTAAAAATAAGTTAGATCGGGGATCCCTGGATGGCTCAGCGGTTTAGTGCCTGCCTTTGGCCCAGGGGATGGTCCTGGAGTCCTAGGATCAAGTCCCACATCAGGATCCCTGCAAGGAGCCTGTTTCTCTCTCTGCCTCTCTCTGTCTCTCATGAATAAATAAATAAAATCTTAAAAAAAAAAAGAGAGAGAGAGATCCAGTCACTCTCTTGACAAAACCCTCTGAAGAAGCCCCATCTCTTGGGAAGGAAAAACCAAAGCCCTGAGGACCTTCAGGACCCCCACCACCGTTGCCCCTGCTGCCT